CCATGCCATATTCTCTGAAAGATGCTTAAGACCATCTTAGACCAGCTGAAACCAGCTAAGACCAGTCACCAGCATAAATTGGACAGTACGCAGCTGCTTTGAATTTACACGGATGTCCTGTCTTTTCACATGTGGACGGTAATAACAATGCAGCACAGCAGGCAGTAAGTTACTGTTGTGTCAGTTAAGCCTCCATTCCGTCACGCCCAGTCTGGTCACATCCCGCCTCACCTGAATTCCTGCACACCTGACACTGATGGACGTGTCAGACCGGTTTGTCTGTATCAGCACTTTGTTTTCATTAACCTCTCCTTCACGTCTGGCGTTTCTCTGCCATATGGAGATTTCATTTTCAGTTTTCCAGTCCTCCGTCACATACCTCTGTACCAGTGACAGTACTGGGTCTTTCGCTGTCCACACTGATTGTATTCAGTGACAACAGAGCTATTGCCGAGGCACTTCAGAGAATAACTGCCACAGCGGCGAAACGCAGCCCAGCAGCCAACCAGCTCCACCATTAGAGGGCCAAGTGGAGGAGGAGCCACAAGCTAGTGATGTGTGGAGGCTCTTTGATGGAAGAGCTGCAGGAGATGCTGCAGAGAGAAATACTACAGCTGATGTTATAATGGAGATGCGATGCTATCTTGAGGAGCCCCTCATCCTACGTGGAGAAGACCCACTGAGCTGGTGGCAGGCCAAGGCCTCAATCTTCCCACACCTGGGGAAGGTGATGGAGGGGAGACTGTGCATGGTGGCAGCATCTGTTCCTTCGGAGAGAGTCTCCTCAAAAACAGGCCAGATACTGACTGAGAGGAGAAACCGCATCAGCCCATCCAAGCTGAGGCATTTGATTTTTCTGAATGTCAACCTGCACTGAGGACTGGTTACTGAGTTTGGTTCTGTTTCTGTTCAGTGGATTTGTTTGCAGTGTTTTCTTCATTTGTTTTTCTCTGAAAGTTAAAAGTTTGATTAAAATCTTAAACAAAAGTAAGAATGCCTGCTTTTGTAAGAAAATAAATACACAAAACTAGGCAATAATAAGGCTTCTCTTAAAAACACTAAATGCAAAAGGGTTTATCAACACACAAAGCGTTCATATTTGCCAAGTTAGGCTAAAACATGAGGCTACAGATGATACGTTAAGAGCCGTTTGGGAGCCGAAAGAGCCGGCTCTCTGAAAAGAGCCAAACTTCCCATCACTAGCTTACTGCCCTGGAGGGAGGCAGCACCAGCCTCCCCGTCCTCCTCCAGCGAAGGGAGAGGATCCGCCCCGCTGTGCCGCCGCACCTACTGCAAGCCCCGGCGTCACAGCTGGGCCCGCCCCGCTGCCAGTCCTACTGCCAACACGGAGCCCCGTCTTCCCCCGCTTCTGCCTCACCCATCCTTCACCCTGATATCGGCGACAGCCACACCGTGTCCCCCACTGCGAACCGGCAGCCAGTGAAAAGGGGGGGCGCTGTGTTAAACACCCATTAAACATCCTATTCCGTACTGCCCCCCCCCCACATCTGTCTCAGTGTCCTTTAAGCGACATCCTGCGACATTCCTCCGCACCTCCAGGTGCAGCCAGTCAGTTACCGGAGGGCAGGTTCTCCCCCCCCCACCCCACCCCACAGGACAAACATTAATCTGTAAATGAAAGTGAAAGATTTAAAGCCAGAGTCGCCACGTCAGTAAGGAACACGAATAAGACGCTGGAAAAATATATTTTGTATTGCAAGGTAAGATTATAGTCAGCAGATACAACTAATAATAAAATAAGCGTGTTTAACCTGCGGAGTGGGCAGAAAATTTTGATTGGGGGGGCTGTTGCGGGGGGCAGTTATATTTATGGGGGGAGGGGGGCGCACCGCACCGTGTCTGTTCTGTGCTTCTGCTTAGAAAATAAAATAATCCAAATTTTGTTTTTTATTATTTTGATGTGCGGTGGCCGCCCCTTAAATCTGCCCCTTTAACACACATGCTGGGATTTAATACTTCTCATTATAATTAGACGTTTAATGTAATTCGATACACTGTAAATAATCGCCTGGAGTAAACATTATGGAATAATGCGCTTAACATTCGACAAAGTAACACGTTTATATAGAATGTTTTAATGACTTGAGTTCACCTGAAATGCAGCGCTGCCGAACATGGAGCGTGTGACACTACGGGAATAAAGTAGATAAAATTCTGTGGCTTTGTGGCGTTTTCTGAAGAAAGAAACTGGCGTGACATTGTTATTCCAGTAACGTTCAGTTCAACGTAAAAGTGTTGATTGTTAGATATTGTATTTGTATGTGTATGTGTCTTTACCCTTCATGTTCACAGAGACCCCTTTAGGAATCATTTGCTGTGGATCAGCACCAAAATGGAGGAACCTGCTTCTGAAATGACCCCCCCTGTGGGGTATAAGGAGAGAGGAGCTGTGTCTGAAATGACCCCCCCTGTGGAGTGTAAGACAAAGGGGCCTGAGAGGTAACAGTGTTACAGCCCACTAGCATGCATGTCCCTGTGGGTCTATAGTTAGGCCATAAGGTAAAAGTAAACAGGGTTCCTAGCTAAGGCTGGGGGGCACATTAATATTTGTAGTTTAATAATAAATTACCTCAGCATTCCCTTTCTTTCCCCTTCCTTCTTCTATTTTAGAGGCAACCATCACATCATCCCTCTTACCCTAAATCACCACATACTGTAACGCTGTAGAGAACAAATACAGATACAAACTAACTGGGAAAGAGGAACAGCAGCCAAGTCTAGTGACAGAGGCTGTAACAGTGATACATAAGAACAGGGTCCTCAGACGGCTCATTCTCCTCTGCTGTCTCTGGTCCATGTTCAGTGAGCTGCACACAATCATACCAAACAACACAGTAGCATGTTCTGTTCCTTTAAATAGGCTGAATGGCTGATGAAAAGCTTGAAGGCACCTGTGATACTAATTAAAGTTCGATCAGGGCTAAAAGACAAATTAATTAATTTATGTCGTTAAAATTACCCTGGCATGACATTAGTGCGATATATGCATTATAAATGTGCCGACAGACAAAGCATTTTTATAAGTAATGAAGAAAAAAATGGAACTTGCAACTTAGAATGTGTAAAGACCGTATGAAGTCCAAGTATCTTACAAAACACAATAAAGGTATGTGCTAAAACACACATTCAGCCTGTTAAAAAATGGCACAGTGCACCTTTCAGGGAAACTTCGTACGTTACATGTGAAACATTGCGTAGTTATGAGCACAAAAAAGACTACTGATTACTATGTCCATCTGTTATGAGATGGCACAATGCACTTTGCAAGTATAGGCTACACACTGACATCGCTACGTGCGAAAAACATTGCGCAGTTATGAGCACACAAAAGACTATAAATTACTCCGGACGTATATGCAATCATGTATGGGATTATGAGATGCCACAGCGAACTTCACACGGAAACAGTTCACACGTTACATGTGAAACATTGCATAGTTATGAGCACACAAAATACTGTAAATTTTGTAAGTTCTGTAAGTTCACACGCTACATGTTTGGAGCACAGTGAATACCCATGCAAAACAGTAATTAAACTCATTAACTGTATCGACTTCATTTTCAGTTATAAGACCTACATGCTCCTGCAGATTAATGACTTCAGTTTTTAGAGCTTATTTGGTGTTAAAAGTCAACCTTCCTAACACTGAATATTTTTGTTTTGGACTTTGGTCTTTGGACAACATGAAGACATGATTATCATGATAACTAAACCTTTCATACAGGAATCTTAATGTTAGATGAGGCAGATTATTTCACATGAAATCTAACTTTAAACAAGCCGGTTTGCATGAAGAGCTTCACGGCTGGTTAAGCAGAAGACTGATCAACTGAAGGTTTAATGTGATGCTGCCCATATTGTATGAATTATATTTATATAATGAGGATTTGTTTCCTCTCGCCGTCCACAGTGTCCTGATGGAGAGAGCAGGCTCACCTGCACCCAGCTGTGTTTCCATGAAGAGTGACAGGTCAATGGACAAATCACTCAGATTCAGAGAGGGACCTTTTCCTACAGATCAGAGGTAAATGTGCATTTAAACAAACACTGTTTAAAACACTCAGACTATCTGTCCTGCCTGCTGTGTCTCTGTGTGACAGATGTCACTGGTTCTTTTCTGCTGTTATGAGAAGATTGATGTTATGAAGCCGCCCTAATGAATAAAGCTTA